TCCCCTCCCCTCCCCCCCCGCGACCGTCTCTTCGCCGAGAAGATCCATTCGAACTCCGTTTGATAATTTCGATGATGATTTCGCGCGCTCGCGACAATGACGCGTGTGCGTGGGAAAACGCGAGAATTTTTCTGCTCCTCTACACCTCCGCGACACGTGACGTGTGTCGCTCGCCGTTGGCGAAAATTGAAATTCCGTCAAGACTCTGCTTCGCCGATTTCAGTTATCTACTTTTCTTTCACCGTATCTCTTTTATCCGAGTTTACCCTTTCTCTCTCTCTCTCTCATCTCTCGCCTCCCCCCCCTCTCCCCCTGCTCCCTGTCATCATGCTCGCACGAATGCATACCGGGACAGTTACACGATCCAACTGTAACGCGCCGGCGACTACAGGCAGAAGTATTCTTCCGACTGCGATTAACAATGCTAGTTAGACACGTGTCCCGTGCGAAACTCGTGTGTGTCTGCGGTCGAACGCGTAAGCTCGATTGAACGAGACAGTGTTTAATGTTGGAAGAGAGACCTAAAGGGAGAGAGGGAGAGAGAGAGAGAAGGAGAAACGAGGTGCGTGGGGTGAACCAGAAGTATCAAGGGGGACTCAGAAAGTATCGCTGTCCGTCGGTCAACGTCTGGTGTACGAAATTCTTTGCGCGCAACGACAGACACGGCGAGAGAGAAGAGTCGCGTGTTCCGCGGTTACTGCACGAGACGAAAACAAGCGAGAGCGTGTTGGGGGAAGGAAGGGAGACGCGCGTACTTACTACAAATGAGTGCACCTGCAACCCAGGCGAAATGATGTAGCAAAAGTTATATATGAATCGGACGGGGGAGCCGTTCAGTGAAAACGCGGGGCAAAAGACAATCGTATCCGCGATTCTGCGGCGAACGAATAAAAGAAAAAGAGAACCGCAAAAGTCAGAAACCAATTCGCAGATAAACGCGAGGGACTGTAGTACAATTAAGTAATTCTAACTGTGTATAACAGTAGTGAGCATCGTGCTCTCGGAAACTTAATCATAAAATTGGATCTTGAAATGATTAAATCTCTTTATTATGTAACACTTTGCACTATGAAAGAGGGCGAATGTTAATTAATGTTCTGGAGCGAAATATATGTTCTCGCAATGGATATTGGTACCGAGGAAATGCAAAGAAAGCGTTTTGTATAGACCACTTCGTCGAACCGAATGTACACCGCGTATCGCGCTTTAATGAGAGGGAATAATTTTAAAAGGGGGGAAAAAAAACCACACATCGAATACAGACCGAGATGTCGAGAAAAAATAATCGTAGATTGAGTGCAATTACCCCCTCCTTTCCCTCCCCTCTCCCCCCCCCCACGTCTACTTGTGATAATTGTAATATAAATTAGACGGAAGTTGACGATTAAATATGCTGACGAATACACGTGTGATTTAAAGGATGAAGCTGAACAGTGTTGTTAGACATGCTTATTATTACACAGGTACGCATTCATCAATTAAATATTTGTAATAGATATGAAAAAGTTCTCGAAGACGGTATTTTTAATCGCGTTACACCGCGGGAGAGAACGTTATTCAGAGATGCGTGAATTCTTTCGAAATGATTCGATACAATGGGTAAATAATATAATAAATAAGACAAAAACGCAGTTAATTAAGCTATAATAGCATTATCTCGTGTGTCAGCAATTATGGTCAATTATTTACAATATATCGTTCGCGGTAACGACGCAGCTATATACACATCGATCGTCGCTCATTATTGATTTGTGATTGCATCTTGTAATTATCCGAAATATATAAAATTAAATTAATTTGTTACTGGCATGATTGCAAGCTACACTTTGCGATAATTAAACGTTCCGGCAAATGTTTGTTATTAACGCAATATACGGACAATTTGCTTGATCTCTATTATTTATTGTTTCGCGAAACAACGTACGAATTGCGCGCGGAGGAATTTATACGATGCGACGAGAGCGTTGTGTGTATGCAGTTTATACAAAGTATATTCCTTTTTTTCTCAAGCGAGACAAGAAGGCACAGGAAGGGAAAGGAAAGAGAGAGAGAGAGAGGGAGTTACGTGATGATATAAGCAATAAGCAAGACACAATCACGTAATATCCATCGCGCCCGTTTGGGTCATCTAATCGGTCTTCAATTTATCGCGGCGAGCAAAGTGACGAAATGTACAAAACGATAAGTTTTCGAGCTACCCTCCGACGCTCTGTACACACTATAACCTTCTCCACGGAGATACACCGTGGAATCAATCTGAAGGAAAATAATCCGATTGTCGTTTCGTCCTCCGATTCATAGCGGCGTAATTCAGCGGTAAGGTAACATACGAGACGCGTCGAAACTCTTCGTATTACTCACACACATAACACACTCACGGATTCATCGACCAGTCCCGGAATTGACTTTTTCTCACAAAACGGAAACTCAATACGAGACGCTGCGCTACTAACTTTTTAATATTCAACTTTAAATATCTTCCAAGTACTAAACCCTGAATCAAAAACTTCCTTCGAGTTTCACTTACAAAAAGAAAAATGTCTTATCGTCTAATTTTATCGCTGAAAATTCTCCGTCGCGCCATTCATCGTCGCGAGTATTACACATGTTTACGTCTCATTAAAAGTCAATCGAGTCTCGAACAGCTGGCGTGGAACTGACGAGAGGGATCTTCTCAAGCGCGCTTAATGCGAAACGATCGCTGTCTCTACGCCGAATACGATATTCTCCCTTTTCTCGAAAGATGAAAATCGCGCATGACACTCTTATCGAAAGTTTTATCGCGCTTCGAACGCGCGGTATAAGGGACAGGGATTGATTTGGAGCGGGTCGACAATGAAAACCTGTTGTGATCACGCGGTCGCACTTGCGCCGCGCCGCGACGCGACTCCGCACGCCGATCAAGGCGCGCTGCTGCCTGCCTGGTCAAGGTGAGCGTCGTCGGCCGAGGACTCTCGTGATCGTGCTCTTTGTGACCGAGAAATACAGTGCCGACAATCGTGAGTGTGTCTCGCGCAGCGGCCTACGGCCTAGCCTACGCGGACTCCAGCCGAGGGCGAATGACAACGGAGGAAGGTCGATCGTGGTGTGTGACGGAGGGTGTTTCCCAGAGCGAGAGACCCATTCACACAGTGAATCATTGTTGTTCGTCATTGTTGAACAAAGATGAAAGTACATTACAAACAGTCTGCCTCTTGCTGGGAAAAAAAAACCGCGCTCGTTTGAATCGTGATGTAAAAAGAAAAGGTGTTCGATATCGAGCGTATAACGGCGACAGCGATACCGCGCGGAAACAACCAATCAAATTTGCCCCAAAAATGCATTTTCCCGCGTAATAACGCCAGTAAACTGGAACAGCCAATCTCTGACCTCTGCCACAGGAATGGTACACCTCTCGTTCTACATGACGCTTCGAATCGCCACTGCGACAGGTCTTTCTCCGATTGAGCTCTTATTTCGGTCGATTCGAACATTTATCTATTATCGCGTTCATTTGTCACTTCTATTACGTAGTCGCGAAAGTGAAGATTTCATTGTCGGGAGGAAACCGTTTAACGCGGACTTGAAAAATACCGCGTCGGGGGTCGCGAAGGGCTAATCCGATTTCCACGAATTCCACTCGATAAATCGCTTTCGTAAACACGTCCTGTCCGAAGGACGTAGCCGCCGCGGCGACGATTTCAAACACAGCGAGTGGTCCTGGCGCGATTATATTTGTGACGGGAAAATATAGACTTAACGCGCATTGTTGGAAAGAGACGGATTGCCTATTTAGATATGCCACTTTGATAAGAATGCTGGTGAAAATTTAGTACGCGTCGGACTGCATGCGTCAAATCGACCGTATGCATTTTCAACAATTGGCGCATATAAAAACAGGTTCGTCACGAAATTGAAAATCAGAGAAATTGAATTGTCGGGGAACGTTGGAAACAGTGAGGGAAATTGGAGAAATCAGAGCATTTTCTGGAAAATAAAAAATTTTTTTTTTTTTTTTAAGTTTGATGTGCATACATCACACTTATGCAGAGATTTCGAATACTACCGACTTCGCAATTAAATGCAAGCAGTATCAACAGCATTAATGATACTTAAAATTTTGCTACGTTAAATTGCACTCTGAACAAAATATTTGACGGTTTCCAAAAATCACAGGATAAAAATACAAAAAATTGAAAATATTATTAAAAGTCAGAGAAAATCATCGAATTTTATCTGCAATGGAAATCTGCGGGGGAAAGTTATAGAATTTATGGCAATCCTGAAAAACTTCCTTAATTTATCCGAATCTTGCACGTGAAATATAATACCAAATTTCTTTTCGAGAACATTTTGTAACCGCGCTGTAAAAACGCGTACGATACATTTTAGGAAAGCATAGGATTGCGAAGCATATTAGATCGATAATAAAGTTGAACGTAAATAAATCGCGTTAATACGGGGAACTCATGGCGAGTATAAATCGCAATACCTTCGCCGCCGATAATAATTATTATATTGTCTTAACGATCGCGTGAATATCTTAATCGCGCGATATACTCGGTACTACGTTAAAGCGAACGATCGTAATCGTGAACTATCGTTATATTCAGCAGCATTTACGCAGCGTAGTTTATGTCGAGAAAATTAGTGTACTTCCACAATTAAATGACTCGTAAAACAGTCATCAA